AATCTAACCTGGCTCAAGATTGCCAGTTTTGAAGCCATTTCCGACCCCCAAAAATGCAGTCTGGCACAACGTGCTATTCATCACCGTGGTGTTAATATTGCTCCGTGGTTGGGGGGCTGGGGCCCTCGTGATGAGCAAAGCACACATGAAGCCTGGGGAAGGAAGGATAATTAAAGTGGCCTAGGAGACAGGGCTACCTCATCTCTGGCAGAACATTCCAAGCATTCCCAGCCCGAGTGGCTGAGCAACGGTGGGCGCTCTATAACACTAATGGGTTTGCTGCTTGTTGATTACCATAGCGCATGAGCCTTTCACAACAAATCCCCCTCCCCCTTAAAAAAGAAAAAGAAAAGAAAATCTAAAAATTGCTTTTCATCTGGCGGCATAGTTATTAGTCATGGTTTCTTTTTTGTCTGTGGTTGTGGTTTTGAATATGAGTAATCCTGCAAGGAAACATGGATGTTTTGGGAGCACTATTCTAAGGGTGTACGCAATGTCATTTTATTGCGCCTTTGTGTTTCAATTCACGTTAATAAAAGCTATTTAGGCACCTTTCAGGTTTTTTAAGCTAATTTGCATTCATGAGCAAAGCTAATGCCATCCCAGGGAGACATTCTCACTGTTGCAAGGATTTGAGCACCAAAAAACTGCTCAAATTTGTGATGTTGAGCTGTCCTAAAATTTCATATTCTTTGGTGATAAATGCGTCGTGCAATAAGCAGATAAAGCATTCCTTTCTCAAAAACGTATTCAGGTTCACGATTTGAACAGATTAAAAATGTAAACTGAACAGTGCATTCCCTGAATGATATTACAGAGACTGTGCTCTTGACTGTTGAAAAAAAAGCATACTTTACAAAATACTTCACAGAAAAAGAATGTCAGTTATCATACCTTAGAGAAGAGTATAAAGCTGCACAAAAAGTGCATCTAGGATAACTGCATTACATGTACATGGACCCTTGCAATAGTCTACACTTGCTTCCTATAAAGTGGTAGTGCCTTAATGTCAGAGACAGGCTTTGTCTTAAAGTTAAAAGTTCTCATGACAAATCTAAAATAGCACATCTTAAAGGGGACAATAACAATTTCCAAATTCATGAAAACAGTGATAATGCTGGTAACACTGACACAAATTTCTGCTTGCTGCTGGGACCACAAGATCCAACAGTAAAACAACTGTACAGTTTGCAGAGTCCAACACAACTGCATAATAAACGGTCCTTTGATTACCCCTTAGAGATTGGCACAATACATGTACATGTATGTTGGCTCATGGATGGACAGTGCTAGATTCTACTAGGTACAGTTGTACATGCATGTGTACATGTAGAGTCAACTCTCATAGAACACGAACAAAATACTTTTTAAAATGAACAAATTCTGAGAATCCAACTTTCTTTTATGCTTGACTTTTCTTTGTTTTCCCACTCCTTTATAACAAATCTTGGTTATGATGAAGTCATTTGTCTGGTCCCTTTAACTTTGCAATAACGAGTTGAGTAAAAACTAACATTTTTCGGAGCAAAATTTAACCTTTTACACCAAAATCCTTTCTGTAACAAGTATTACAAAATTATAATTACATGCAAGCGCAGTGTAATGAATTAAGTATTTGTGTGGTCATGTGTATCAATACTGCAGGCATGGCTGATATTGGGAATGGCCGATATGCCCTATCCTACTGAACTGATAAAAAACACTGATCTCTAACGGTTTATTTTATCTCCCAACATCCGGTTAGCAACTTGTCCCAATGGTTTTGAGCTGGCAAGCTGCCAGCAGAAAACTAGGGCTACATATTGTAGATTTCCACAATCTTTGTTTAGACAGCAGTCCCACAATGAACCAGTGTGCGCATTAGCGACAGACAAAATTCAAGGAAATTCAGAGGCTAAAGGGTTTCAACACCAAGGGGCACAACAGAAAAGAAACTCCCTAAGCGGAAACTGTAGGAATATTCTGCAGCATCATGTAACCCAAAACAGAGATTTGATGCTAAATATATGGATAACAAGTTGATGAACTGACAAAGTAGCACTTTTTATTTCAAATATGGTATTCTGTGAATTACATGTACTTCATCGTGCCGCTGCAAGGAAGCTTTTCTCATATGGAAATAAGTGATTGAACAAAGCAGGAATAACAATAATAGTAAAGTTATAAAGACGATGTGATGCACACCGAGGCCAAATGAGCTAGGTTTGGGCTAGCCAGTAGACAATGTCACCTCCTGGCTATGCTGGAATAACTGCAGCCATTGGGGTTAATCGCTGGTAAGAATTTGGGCTGTGGGCCAGTGTGTTGCAGGAGAATCCCCTGTGATTCCCCCCCCCCCGGCACACATCAGTGATCCCCACTGATGCAAATATTCCTTCCCATTTATGAACTGTCAGCCCCACATCTTATCCCCCCTCTCCTTTCCTTTTCTCTCCTCCGACCACATCCGCTGCAATCGGGCATCTCTTTGTCTGACGGCATTCCATCCTGATGGTTACCAGAGAAACCTTTCACAGAACATTTCAACAGGTATGGCGCCGTGGGGAATACACGGTGTCGAGTAAAGGTGGGGGGGGGAGAGGGAGTGAGAGCACGGGACAGCACTCTAGCGAAGCTTGCAGAATACTCCAGAAAGTAATAACGGAATTGCCGGAGGAAACATGTTACAGTGAGTTCAAGATAATAGCCAGGTAACTTTCATTTTCTATAAGGTGATGAGTTATTTAGCTGCTGTGAAATTCCATTTGCGCATGTCCTTTCAGCATAATTGAGTTTTTCAACTTAACTAAAGCATCAGAGTTTTTCCTTGTTATGACACTTCTGCCGATGAGACTAAGAACTTGAGACCTTACACCATACCTATAATGTCACTATCATTGTCATCATCACACTTTCTTTTTAAGTGGGGCATAGACCTTTCAACTTCCACGCTTGAAGAGAACTGTCACACAGCTAGCCAAAAGATAAATATTGAATCAAGATGTTAAATACATTTTAATATCAGGACCCATTAGGTGAGGGACAATGTTCATAAATCAATGGTATCTCGCTAATGCGACAAGTCTTATGATTAAGCATGAATAAATTGAATTTTCTTATCCCTTCATCTCCAGCAAAGAGTCATTAACTTTTCAAACAGTGGACGTGGGTGTAGATTGGGATGGTGCCATGTGAATGATGCATTTAAGACAACTTAAATTTCAACTTAAGTTCTCAATTTAAATGGTCAACAATGTTCCCACTTACTGAACATGGAAGAGAATGCAAATCACTTGCTGAATTGAGCAAGTTGAGAATCTTCAGACACTATGTATCACTTAATTGGCAAAGTGGCAATGTTGAAATTTCCTTTGCACTTGTTTTTATGACTGGAAGTCCATATGAGATAATTGCAACACAATGTGATGGGATCATCTGTTAAATAAAAAATGAATGAAGACATTGCATTTGGCTTCTTCTTGCACATCAGAATAACACGAGCAGTAGGGTGAGATTTTCAGGCCACTTAAGAAAAACAGCCTTCATCCTCACATGCCAACACTGGCCATCTTATGGACAACACTAGTGTCAGCACAGCAAAGATGGAGCTGGTGATCCCTTCTACCAACAACGTGGAAAGTTTTTATTGGCTCAAAAATGATTCTGCTAAAAGTTTTGTTGACACAGTGAGGCTTGATGCCCCTACAACACAATAGTTGGTGCTTCTTTGACCCACTGCTGTGTTTGTTTAGCGACCAAATTCCAACACCAATGAAATCAAAAAAAAAAAGGAAATGCAGATACATGTAGTGATGAGGGTGACAGGGTGAGACAATAAAGGTTTCATTCAAGTCTAAGTTGCAAGGTGTTGCTGCTTACAGTTGGATACACCAAATGTACTCATTGACAACTTTTGTTGACAAGTTTTTTCCCTCCTTTAATGGGGTTGCGAAGTAAAACAGTATCCCTACAAAAAAAGCTGGTACACACGAGACAGTTAATTCTTAGATCACTGTTTGCTCAACACTTCATGGTAGATAGAAATGGCTCTTCTGCCTTCGTGCTGCTACAAGACGAGTCAGACATGTTGACAAATCTTATTCATGATGGCGAAAACAAGATGAACAAGGTGACCAATGAAGCTGGACATTGAGTGGGGCAACTTTAATCTTGAATCTCTCAAGACACTCTTACTGCAAGCCTTCCAGAATCTTCCAACCCCGCTTCACTCTGTAAGAATCCCACGGCACATTTTTTGTACTTAGTGCGAAGCACAAAGCCCCAAGCAATGAAGGAGCTTCTTAGATTTATTGCTCTCAAGCAACATTTCTTGCTGATGTTTGGAAGATCTGCTGGGAGGGTTTAGCCTGTTTTTCCACATCAACGTAAAGCGATGCAGACAGTATCACTGATCAGTCCCATGGTCAACAACATGGTCATATGGAAACATTCTTTTGCGGGCCTAATGAAAAGACCGATGCAAGTACATGTAGTTGGGAAAGTTGGATCATGTTCAACTTTGCCAACTGTCTGTGTCAAGTCGCCAGAGAAGGCTCATACAAGCATGCACACTGGCAGAGTCAGAGCGTCAGAGACAGACATACATGTACATACATGTAAAACAATATCTCGGCGGCTTAGTACCATGCAGGTAGCCCATTTTCTCCTTATAACAGAAAAAGTTACAACCTGACTGCCAACAGAACAGCTAATCATAAATGACACATAAAGTATTGGAGTGCGGGTTGGGCTTCAAGAGGTGGTACAACATCTTTAAAAACTACATTTTATACAAAACTGCTTGGAGTTGTGGGTGGGATTTTGTTTAATTTGTTTGTGTGGACTGACATCACTTTTCTTTTTTGAATATGTCTCAATATCTTGTATGTTGTTAGTGTTCATTATGACCATATGGAAACTGCATGAGAATAGTGCTGACTTCTGTAACCTTCTGTCTGCCCTAACATTACAGTGACATGATACTTGAGAGGACATCATTAAACTGGTTACATTCAGCTTACCATACATCTTGCCTTCGTCAGACAGGATGATCTTCCGTCGGCCACAGGGAGGGTAGATGGCCAGTGCCTCCTGGAAGCTCTGCTCGATGTCGGGGCTCCACACCCCTTCTGCATCGTTGGCCAGATCATCTTCGTTGGTCTGACCGGGTGAGTGCTGCGGCTGCTGGCTGGGGGTGCTTTGGCTCCAGTTTTCCGACGACATGGCTCGGCGGTCTCAGCCGAAGGAGCGCTTGGGTCTAGACGGAAGTCAGCAAGGGGGGAAAGTACATGTACATGCAATCATTAAAATAAAAATAGGACAGGTTTATTTTTTAAAAAGGCCAAGTGAAAAAAAATGGAAAACCTTCAATATATTCATGTACATAGGTTCTTCTGACACAAACAGAACACAAGTTAAACAAATATTTTCAGATGCAGTTAAGTAACAAAGTCTGTTCATTGGAACTACACAACTTAGCCATAATTACATTACAACCAGGGCTTGAGATCCTCAGAACTTGCAAGCACAAATGAATAAGGCACTCTCAAGCCTATCCCCTGGAGTGTATGTAAAATCATATTGAAATCTGAGGATTTGAGAGTAAGATTCAGCAAGTTTTTCTATTGAAAACACCAACCATCCAAATAAATAAATTTCTAGAAGTAGATGTACTTCTGCATCAAAAAGCCACTAGGCAAGTCAACTGTAACCCTAACCGAAGCCTCAACAAGGAGGTCATATTTCAGGCTGTTCTCCAGATAGCTGCAAGCAAGCCAAGCAACCCTGTGGGCTTTGTTGACCCTTAATGACCTCTCTCTCTGTCTTTGATAACCCAGTGAAGGCTCCCATATGTTTTTAGAGTTGCTTAATGCTGGATAAGTTCTGCAGCAGAATATTAACCTGTTTACACGTACATGTACTGTACATGTACATACTGTACATGTACACGCACATACTGTACATGTACACGCACATACTCGGGTGGGAATCCAGCAGACTTTTAAGGAGAGGACTCTAAACATATCTTGTGTCAGGGTTCAAAGGTCAGGCAATGTGGTAAGCTCAAAACAACTAACAAAATAAACTGAGGTGCTACTACCAATCAGACGGTTTTATTTTCACTTCAAGAGAACATGTGGAATAAGCATTCAAAATACGGCAAGATTTCTTACTGACAAGGACATGTACAATACAGTAATGTGGTGCTATTTTAAGTATCGCCCTGGATTTCCCCGAGATAATTAAATTTTGATTTTATGTTATATCAATGTATTGGAAAATTGAAATCAAGTTATTTAAAGAGTGAAAGGTCACTTCTCACTGGTTGAAAAGTATGCATTATCATATTCAAACTCAGTGGCACTATAACTTGTCCAACTGAACAACTTTCTCAACCTCGACGATCCGTGTTCAAGAACAGCATTAACCCTAACAGTCTTGAATGTTCCAACTGCTGGACACAAGATTGTTGGGTTAATTACAGCAGGAAGGATCATGCCATGCTCACATCGGATGCTGTCCAAAAAACTGATTACTCATCCTGCATTTAAACTGCTGTATTTCTTTTTTTTTTAAATGTCAAGACATCAATCTCGCAGTGTATTAATATGCTGGGGATTATTAAACGCAATCAACGGAGAGTCAAGAATTCTAGACCCATTAACTTGGGCTAAAGTCCACCACGGTGGCTTCTGCACTGCAAATCTCTGTACAAATTACACGCGGGTTACAAACGGCTTGGCCAAAGGAGAGGGAATGCCATTGTCACTAGACTCGTAACCGGTTGCCAAACACGGCCCTGAGACGGAAATGAGATTGCTGATAACGCGGCCAAAATCACCCATTCCACATCGTATTTCGGGCAGGGCCGCCGGCCATTCGCATATGAGCATCAAAGATTTGGGCTGTAGGATTGAAAGATGTATCAGCCGTAATGGGCCGTTTTCATCTTTCCTGCGCAAGAGGTCTATTGAAGTTGATTTCACTGTGGCTCAGGGACTTGGCAATTAACTCTCTCTTGAGAAAATAAGAAACCGTGTGACAATGGCCAGAGAAATGCCATTCCATCTCCTTGCTAACATAACTACATGTACCAACAGTTCTCATGTATCAAATGAGCTTTTCTTTATTTTAATAGTCTTTATCAGTTTCTTTCTCAGCAACAGGAGAGGGGTGGCAAAATGTTATTTATCCAAACACAAGATGCAAAAATAACATCTTTTTGAAAGGAGATCTTTTAACGCTGGAAGTACGTAAATGTCTAAGCCAGTTTAAACAGGCATAGCCTCCTCAAAAAGCCAAAGAAATGTCATTTTAGTATGTTTTAAAACATGTTTTGGATTGCATTGTGCACACATTTTGAAGACTCTACTGTGTGCACAGAATTTGATTTCTTTCCACTTTTTTGTTGGAATATCGTTAAAACTCTACCCCTCCCCCGGAATGTATGTGTACATGTATGTAAAATCATATGGAAATTGGAAGTTTAGGGACTGTTAGGGTTAACAATTTATTAACTTTGTTTCTTACTTCACGCGAATGACAACAACTTTTCAGCCAAATGGAAAACCAGAACAGCAGAGCCAATTCATATTAACTCAAAAGTTAACAAAAAGTATGATCACACTTTCAATATTTTTTACTCAGATTTTCTCAATGCCAAATCACATTTCCCAAAGATATTTGCTTTGGAAAGATCATCTCTGGGCTACGATCATCCAAGTAAAATCCTAACAATGTGCTCCATTTTGGATACTAATTGTGCCCTTGACTTGAGGCTCAACACCATTCTCAAAGTAAAACTCCAATTACTATTTATTGACAATGATTGAAAACAATAAGTTTAAAAAGAAATGTTTGCAAAATCGTCTTGGTTTTGAACACCAAAATACACATAAAACAAAAATTATTTCAATAATTTCTCAAATGAGTCAAAGAAGAATGTGAAACTAACTCAATTTCATTTCAAAACTTTAGACCGAGTCAGAGTACAAATACAGTAAATTTCTTCACAAAGAAGAAAATGCACTCTTTCCCTGCAATAAAAAAGGTCTACCCTGAAGGCTGAAGACGCCTTCCACGAATTCAACTCCCGGTTTTGTCAAAACATGTGATTACCAACTGCCCACTGCCAACTGATAGCTTTGGCAATGATTCACTGAACCGTCACGCACGCAATACATTCCACCTGGGCGCAAAAAACATAACGCAGTTCTGCAACAAAAAACGTGAGTCACCAAAACATCGACTACACCACCGTAAAAAGACAACGGGGGAAAAACAAACAAAACACAACCTTCTGTCCCTCCTTAGTACTACAGAACTTCAAAAAAAAAAAAGACTTGAGAATTTTTCCGACCCGTTGACGCATCTGGGGAAAATCCTTGCATAATACGAGCATGGAGGAATGATCTGAGGGAAGCCCCAATGCAACTGAGCGGCTACGCAGACGAGAACGACCCCAGCCCAACGCCAAATTTGGAGGCAAAAAACTGCGGCACGCCAAGGCGGGCCAGGGGCCAACTTGGGGCCCGAGCCAGGCAGCTTTCAACCCCCATCCCTACCTGCATGGTGTGTGTAGCGTACCGCGCGTTGTTTAGCATGCACCGCCACACGGCTGTGTAGTGCACTGTAGGCTCGCCAACTATGCGAGAGAACAATGTTGGAGGGAGACATTTTCCCCCAAGTCCACAACGCCAAGTCGGTGAAGGGGTTTCGAACTTCCGCTCTCTTCTGCAACACTGCTGCTTTCCCCCAAAATATGCAACACAGAGGTGAGGGGGAAGGCCTTGGGTCCTGTAGTGGTGTTTTGGGCAGGGGTGAGGAGAGCCGTTGCAAAGGTTTCCCGGCCAGGAAAACGAGTCACAAGTTTGAAACTTGTTCCGGAAGTCCGCACTCGTGTGAGTCGGAAAATATGACAAAAATGCGAAAGATGCGCCAAATTCACCTGCGACTCACGACAGAAAACCTCTGGGTTGTGCAAGAAATACAAGGCCACTTACCTGAAGATCCTTTGTGGAGCTTTCTGGGTAAACAAGGCACTGGTTCGGTGAGATTCGGGACGGAATTCGCGGTAAAAAGAGCAATTTTTGTGAGGATTTTTGGCGTTCCAGCGATGGGGAAGAAACTATGTGTGGAATGACGTGTGGTATGGCAGACAGCAGCGGCAAGCGTAGCGCTGCAGGGGGTGGGGCCACGCGGATTGGCTAGTTGGGAGAATTTAACACAAATCAATCAATTAGTGTGCACCTGTTACGCCAATAACATAGCCGCGTTTTGTTTTCTTTCGCACTTCATCATTTGATAGAGGGTAACATTAGCGACATTGATGTCTATGTCGTTGTCTTGTTATTGAACGGCATGTTACTAAATTTCAGCTTTTGATGGAGGAAATTAATATTTATTTCACTTGTTCATGCTGGTTTTCTTTTATAAAAAAATCGTACCTGAATAATATTGAAATGATATTTGAATTCCGAAAATAGTTTGTCAATTCAAGCGTAACGGACATGACATTCAGACAGTTTTTTTTGTAATTCAAATCAATGCACAGTAGCATTCGGCAGTCTCCAAACAATTTTATTGAGTTTGTCAGACATATTTAACTGTCAGTGACATACACATTAAAGTTTACACAATTTTATTATTCGACTGTAGAGAAAATGCACTCAATGTGAGCGTAAAGGACATGACCGAAGAGGACATTTTCATGGAATTGCCCAGTTGCAGTACAACTATTGCATTAATCTTGATACCGTTGATCTTTAATTTTACACAACCCTGTAAATACGGAAGAAAAACTTCATAATATTCAAATTTCTGGCACGGATAATAAATGTCCCAGTTCTTATGATATGGCATAGAGTTGCACAAATAGTTTGTCTCGGGAATCAAAAACCACTCAGCTATACACAAGAACAAATGCATGTGTTAATTTTACTAAACGATTTTTTTACACTTTCGTCTTGCAATGAAAAAATAAAATAACAATGCACTGCCAAGTATACTGTCATGAACAATTTCCCCGTTTCCTAGCGACGGCCTGTTCAAAACAGTGTCCATATCTTTATACCCAGCCGCCATTGTATGTAAAACGTGACCGATATGTCACCTGCTTAAATTAATTATTCATGTTGTCATATTTTCTAATTTTCAATTTGATGCATTACAGCACTATTGGGACTGCTGGATAGTGTTTTCCAATATTCTCCTCACGTCCAGCTCAAACAATAGCCAACCAGCAGCGGGTGATGTCATCGTTTCAGCCTCGTCGACTGTGTCCACGGGGGTGGCACTGGAGCTTCTTGAGGATGAATTATTTTGTGTAGCGCAAAAATCTCGAACGACCATCGCACGACTCGAGCACGGACAATACAATCACAAGACCGTGTTGTGTTGTGACTCCGTTTTCAGGAAATTACTTTTTATCTGAAGCGTCGTGTTCCACTTTTAACTGCAGCGGTGATATCTAAATTGGTTTAATCATTCACCGACATTCTATTATTTCCTGAATTATGCTACACCGGGATTTTACTCAAGGAGTTTTTTTCCTGATCATCAGCTTCACTGATAAAACGATCCCAGATCAGTATACATCAAACACGTTATGTATGCACAACCCAAAAAGGAATGCAAATGGCAATGCAGTACTGTTTTGCGCCGCTGAGGGAAGTTAAAATACACACACACACAAAACAACACAAAATAAACACACAATCAAACAAACAGAAAATTGCGAATTTGGGGATAAAAATTGTTCACAAATTGTCCCATGAAAGCAGAGTTGCAAATACTGATTGATTTGATGCACCTTTTCCACAGGATAACTTCGTTTGAAAACTAATTTCTGGAAGCGACAGTGACTTTGTATTGTTTTAAAATTTTTATCTTATTCTTTTTTTGTCATGTAAAATTTCATTTTGAAAATTCGAATCATCATTCGGTTGTTACACTGTACCCGTATTCCTCTAAACCCTAATCATGGCTCCATCAGAAACTACAGGTGAATTAAATGTAACTGTTCTGCGGTTTGGCCCTAGATAAACAAATACCCGCGGACCAGAGGTGTTTCCCCGCCGTCCCTTCGGGACTACATATTACGTGTTTGCATAAAAGCTTGCAAACGAATTCAGAACATTGCATTGCGTGAAATCAAGTGAAAACAAGTTTCGGTTCTGAAATTCAATTGAGATCACGTCATCTGAGCTGTAGGCGCTTCGCTGGCATCATGCTTTTTTGCTTCCTTGCAGAATTTTTTTGAAACTCTTAAGAAATACCTCCCAACCATTCTCTCGTTTATTTTTGAAAGGGAGGGTTAATAATAATTTTATGAAATAAAAATGTCAACAATTTTTGGAAAAAATTTCCCCATTTCCCCTGGACGCGAAACCTGGATATGCCACTGAGAATAGGTCAACAAACGCAACAATATTATTCTGAGAACAAACTTCACTGGCTTGTTTTACAGGTTAATCCAGACGGGACAGGTTACTGGCCGCTTTTTGGTGGATAAGGGCGGAAGGGGACGGATACAGTAGGGTACAAGATGTTCCAGCTTCTTGAAGTTTATGGAGTTACTTCTCCTTGTGAGGCCTCGAAATACCGTTTTAGAACGCTTAACAGGACGCTTTGATTAGAGTGCTTTTTAACAAAACAGCAGGTATATAACATAGCTTGTCTTGTATGCATTTCGAAGTTGTTGAACGGAAAATGCCATGCATAGCGGGGCCACTGTGGAAGGAAGGAGGGTTGCATGGTCTCAAAGGAGTGGCCTGTACGTCCACCGTAAGGTAAACCTGGGACTAGAATGACACCACTCGCCACGACACAGACTGCATTTGTAATATCCATGACAAACTTGCTTGTTTAATGTTGTAAAAATATACATTACGGTTATAAATTACCTAATGAATCACTTTGAATGTTTATATACAGCGGCTGTCGAATCCAATACTCATTCCAAAGATTTAATTTCTTCCACAAATGTACCATGTGACCTCCAATTGACTGAATTGTTTGGTTGATTTCATTTGCTCAAGGTTTTGGTGGATATCAGAATCCATAATTTTCAGAAAGAAAAATAAACAATTTAAGGAAGATAATTATATTGAATTAAACATTCAAAGACCACATGAAGAAGCAATTCAATCAATTTTTTAGCTCCTGCTCAGGTTTGTTGTAAATTTCCTCCCGAATGGAAAGCAACCAAGAAGTGGAACTTTTTAAACTATTATTATAAATATCGATGGCAAACCAGGAAAATCGACACAATCTAGTGATTATCAAAAGTATTACGGAGTGAACTGGCTGAAGATTCACTAAATGACCCGTTCACCTGTCACACAAATAATTCAACGATTTCAACCAACAAATCCCCTTTAGAAGTCCATTCACTTGTACGGGATTCTGAAAAGAGCACATAACAGCAAAAATCGCCGACCCCCAGAACAGACGTAACCCTAATAGTCCCAAATCCTCCAATTTCAATATGATTTTACATACACCCTGGGGGGTTGAAGAGACAGTCTACGAGAGAGGATAAAAGCTTTTCGAATTGAATGAAAATCACCCTCCCCCAACTGAAACCGCCTTGGTTTGCACCGACATTCGAAATAATCAATAAGTAATGTGGTTAGTTTCTACCGAGATATCTACAACCTTAAACATGTATTACCTGTCATAAATATTAATTTGAATATCTTGTCTCTATGAAAATAAACGCTGATCGGGAGACTGATGAAAAGGAAGAACAGCACCAATGATACACTTTAAAATATACAGGTAATGCGTTGGAACCCACAACTGGCAATCTATTTGTTGACTTAAAAACAAAGAAGTCATAAATGGATGTTAATAACACACCTTTGTGCATTCGTAACACTTTTAGGAATCATTCCTGATTTGGTTGCATAATGTCATAATGTTGCTATGTGATATATAATACAATTTATAGCCAATACGACTGTTGCGTGTATGCAGGTAACTAGCATTTGTCAAAAGAAATAAATAATGGGATTTGTCCGAGTGAAGCAAATAACAGCAACTACGCGCTAACCCATGAAAAGCAAAGGGGTATCACTGTCTGAAATACAATCTGACACGGATTACTTTTGTTACAACACTTAGCAGACATCAGATAAGAATATAATACATGTATACAACCTACAAATCTCCTCATCTCGTCCAGCAATTTATGAAATGAAATGTGATTCAAATTAACCTATGACCAGAAATTTTGCATTTCTGCCACAAGAGACTTTGAGATCCGTGTCCTTTACGGCAATGGGTATTTCAATTTCCAGCTGGGGCAAAAAGTTGACATACACCTGAAAGAACGAAACGTTTGCCTCAAATTTCACAACTTTACTCATTCCTACCAACTTGAAGATAAGTTTCTACGTAATGTACATGGTGTATGCGTCAAATAAAAACATCCAGAGATAAATGTATGATTCATATTTATATTTACAAAGAAATCAAACTTTTACATACTCCAACCCTAAAATTTACTGCCACTTTCTGTATTTTTGTCACATCTCATTGTCGCATTGGACCAATTTCTGGTGTTTTTTAAACGAAAATAGGCCTAAGGGGGTAAATGTTAATTTTCACAAAATAATTTTTCAGAAACATTAATATTTTGAACCATAATAAATGACAACTGAAGCACACACTTCGAACATTAAGTTGAGATATACTTTGTCTGACCTCCTAAAGAAACAGTTGGCAAAACTATTTCAAACAGCGACAAATTTAGGAAAACTGTTTTTCTACCGAGTGTATGTAAACTTTTCCCCCAACTGCACCCTGTAATACAGCGAAGCGTTCTCACAAATATACTACTCAAAAAGTTAAGGACCACTTCTTAGCTTGTAATTTTTTTCAAGCAATGAGTGGGGTCTAGTTCTTTCACCTTTTGTCAAGAGATAGTGTTCTCCTTGGAATAAAAAAAATTAAAATTAGACAGTTGTAAGAAGGTATTTTCAGCAGTAAAATATCTAACATAAGAAGTATAAACAAATTAAAGGTCTTTAACTTTTTTGAGTAGCGTAAGACAATGTTGCAAATTTTTAAAGCTTCGCTTGGAGAGTGACATGCTAAGAATTTCTCCGAAACTGTCTCAAGTAGGCCTACATCTTAAAAAATTATTATTTTTTTCATTCAGAAGTGAAGTAGCGATCCTAAGGTTTCCATTCTGGAATATCACTTTACAATTGACATCTTTGTGAACACAGATGTAGGATACGACGCTGATAGATTTGCTTGATTTCCACAGTGCAAAATCGTTTAGGGGCCAGTACATGTACCTTTGATAGCAACTCTGGTGACCTGCGACTCGTCCTGTTGGGTTGTGTCAAGTTTTGTGTTTGATTCAGTGCATTTCCACTTGTGATGAAAAAAAAAATCATAAACAGATCCGGATGTGCACGTCTCCCTGTGACTTTTCAGGCCATTTTATCAGAATTCCGAGACATGTTTGGACACGCAGCGGTAGACGGACCCCAAATGCCTTGTGGAAGGGTCCCGATGAAGACTCTGAACACTTTCTCATTAACGGTGCCGAGTTCATGACAGGAAGTAATATTAAACTGTAATACATTGACCTCATTGAATGACTTACCTTGGTCGTCTCAAGAGAAGGCGCGGCACACACAACTAGGCCTATGATAGACGGAAGTGGCAAAAGCGGGTTAAAGGAAAAACCCTATGGGTGGAGGCAGAAATTTATCCTCGAGTTTTTCATGACAGGAGGAGGGGATATGCAGAGTGAAGTTCCCCAACCTGCGGAAAAATTCAAGGAACTAGACAACTACTGGTACTAATCTTTATCGCAGGAGAGTGTCGAGTGTTGCGGGAAATCATTCATGAAAAAAAAACCCCAGCAAACAAATCACATCATGATTTCTCTTTGATGTGTTTGACAATTAGACTTTAAAGTAATCAGAACCAAATCTGGGTCGTACCAAGTCCCATCACAAAAATCACTGATGCTTAATGCAGGGACATTAGGTGACAAAATTTCTGCCAATAGGGACCTACGGAAATACACGAGCCTAGCGGAAACACTATCTGCTTTTGTGAGTGAAACTCATGCGATAAGTTCACTCATTTTACAGAAGACTTTTAGTTTGGTTAAACGTTTCTATGACATAAATTTGACATAACAAAACCCCCCTCAATTAAAAAAGAACACACACACACAAACTGACCAGAGATCCCCAGACAAACACAAAGGGGGCATTTTTTTCAGGTCCCGCAGTCTAACATTACACCATAAATCCCAAACCCACATACTCTTAAAATATCGTCTTTCTCAAACTTAACTCCTCCTGCACCACGTTTAAGAGCAGGTAAGGGTACAATCGACTCTTCGTTTAAAGGACGCTGTAACTTTGTTTTTCCAGTCCTCTGGCAACAAGGCTACAGTTACTAGGCAATCTAGCTTGTAGAGAGAGTTGAGTGTACCTTGCATGGTCTGTAAACAGTCGGGCAAAAACCGTGCCTTCTGCATCAAACAAATGCGTGTGCAAACTTCGACAAGACCCTCAAAAGCTGTCAAATTTCCTTGATTGTCTCAGCAGCAATTCCCATATCCCAAACCCTAGCTTTGGAATCAGTCTGAACACAAGAGTTCAAATCATATCCATCACCAAACCAAAAATTAAATTATATGCAATACAAAAGGTACCTGCATGAAGAGAGGCTTTCTTTTTTACAAAGGTGCTTGGGGGGAGGGGATTACAAGTTTAGAGGGTAGGCCACAACAGCTGCAATATTTAATCTACAGTGTACACATGTATTGAGCTAAAATGCAACTTCAGACCTTAATACATTTCCCAGCTTCAAAGAACTCGGAAAAGCTTGTTTTCATTTGATATACTAATCTGTTTGTCCATCTAATCTTTACTCTCTATCTTTTTTACAGTAATATTTTAACATGAAAAGTTCAGACCTTTTTTCTTCTTATCAATTCAACTGAGATTGTTAAAGGTTGGGGAGAAAAATCCACCAAACAGTACTAAATATTAACTGAAGCAGTTTTTTTTTACAAATGAAAATAATGTAACTTTACAGTAGTGGCTATAAGTCGCCCTCTAAAGACAGGCAAGAGTGAGTTGTCTATGTTGCAAAGAGCAAATAAGCCCCCTCGGCTGGCCCCTATGTCAGATGCTTGTACTTGGTGAAAATGTTGTACAGGACTCGCATTGTTGACTTCAGGTCGAGGTTGACTACATCTGTGGATTGGTGAAAAAAATACATGAATATTAATCACATCATGAATATCGATAGTCACCCAGTCTAGTACATCCAGGTCTTGGGTCCAGGGGCCTAAATTCTTTTGTTTTTTTAAAGACTGTCCTTTTTTCCATCTGTAAAAGAATCCTCATTATCCCCTTACCCCCGACAAACGGTAATTGGGTTTCTAAAAAACTGGTGCTTTTAATTCCTAAAAAAAAGGACATGTCTCCAGTCCAATACAAATAGTGGGGACCCAGCTCAAACCTTGTCAGGGGAGAATGAAAAATGAAACAGGTGGTAGCTTGAGATTTTTCCCCGAGGTACCCCGAGAACACCTGTAAATCCTCAAGGTAAACCTCAAGTTACAGGATGTTGAATTTTGCAATCTCCCCTTAGCCATGTTAGCTGAGTGATCCATCTGTCAGTAGCCTACCGACCACATGTTGGTAGCAAAATGTGTTCAGCAGGCAACAAAAAGCATGCAAGCCTGTAACAGATTCATTTTTCTTTGTGTGCCAGAAATCAGTAGTTGTCAACACTCCAGCAAAGCTGTTGTCGCAACTGTCGGTTTCTCAAGATTTGGGGACCAACTGCATCTCCATAATTGTTCGGCAGAATCACACAGCTCTGGCAAGGTTTAAAGTGGGAGGCAAACTTTATGAAGAGAGCAAACTTCTTGATATCTAACAAACATTTCATATCACTGCAGAACAGGCACAATGCATAAATACCACCTGATATATATCTGAAGTGAGCACATCGTCAACTTTCAGATTTACCAGCACGTCAATTTTGATGAACAAATGCCTGGAAAAAGAAACACTTGAGATGCACAGGCAAGTGAGTCTCCAAACAGTAAGTTGTGAACAGGCAAGAATCAAAACTGCATATCTGTTTAAAGAACTTCAGGATGCAATGCTTCACTATGATGCATTCTATCCTTTACAGGCTGACGTGGTGCAATGCCATTCAAATGACAGGAGGGGAGGAGTTGGAGGGTTAAGACAGGTAAGAAGAGAGGAACAAGGCACAAGATGTTGGGGGAACCGGGAACAAAGTTCTCCAATTTCTTCAACAGTGTGTGTATCAAGGTACTGCTGTCTGGGTGTATTCACAAAAGACAAAGCAGCAAGGAGGAATGGACACCAACATAAAAAAAGACAAGAAAAATTGTAGTAGTATTTTGTGCAAATATCCAAGCCTCTGAAAGAAATGGCACCCAATTTAATCAGTTTTAGCTCTTTTAATTGGAAGGTTTTTCTGTGTTTGCTACATGTATGTCCATGTTACATGATCTCCTTGAGGACACTTGAGGACAGTACTGCTGTGACATCACCCAATGCACTGAAACTCTCCCACTCTCCTCCCCCCCCCATTTAGGAGTTACGTGTACGACTTTTCTGTAAGACACTGTGAAACAGAAATTCAACTCATGGCAACTGATTTCACACAGAATTTTCATGAGCTAAATTAACAAAGAAACACAGACTTTTAAATTGACGCCAACAAACCCAAACTGTGACTTTTTTTTGGCTGAAGCAGCTTCTTGACTGAGATTATCCGTATGTATAATGTCTGAAACAGAAATTTTTGCTATTTTTTAGCAATCAAGCAGCTGTTTGATGGAAGTCTTGCTGAGATGACATCACAATCAATTTTCTGGCTTTTCGCTGTGCCCAAGCAGCAATGTGACTCAAGCTTGTGCAAGATGATATCATCATTTTACTCATGAATTTGTTTTTATCAGCAATTTAAAAACAAAATGGTACTGCAGCGTTCTTAGCTTAGTCGTAAACTGAATATCAGGTGAGAGGTAAAAGGTGTACAGAATTCCATAAAATTCTATAACGCCCTCTCAGTGACCAAGTGACCAATGTACATCCGCCATTGTTGAAGGCAAAGATTATGGCACGCAAAACCTAAGTATTTAGTAGTAGACAAGCTCATAAAGCTTTCCTTCATTAGAAAAACCCGAGGCCAGCACTACATGCAGGACATCCATGGTACAGTACGCTACTGGTGACCACTGAGCCATTTGATAATGAATTCACCCGCCTGGGTATTTATATGAAAATAAGCCCCACTGTCTACTTCAAAATGTATGGGCGTGTGGTTACCATAGAGAATGCTTGCCTAATGCAGTGGTGGTTGATCTCAGTAAAATGGTGCCTTGATGGCAATTGATCAGACTCTGTTGAAAACCCTTTATGGTAAAAAACAAACAAACAAACAAACAAACAAAAAAAACCAAAACAAACCGACACCGTGGATAGAATACAAGAGACGATTCACACTGGATGCATTTAGGGGAAGCAAGTGGTGAGTTGGCGAGTGTTAGATCAAGGAAAGAAAATCCAGGCAAAAAGAGACGTTGCAAAGGAGGCAGAAGAGAAACCTGGCTGACGTCATCAGATTTTGTTGTTGTCCCCCTGTTTATATTTGAGGAAGATGACGTAAAGGAGGCGAAGGGTGGATTTCAGGTGACACTGAGCCACATCTAAAGAAAGGAAGGTACATGTACATGATGCAAAAGATGGAATTCATCTTAAAATATGATATGCACAACAGATACAGAACTGTTCATGACAGTGCAGACTGTTTGAAAATACTGCTCTACTAAAGCTCTGTTGATTAGGACTCCACAGATTGAGGGAATGACTTTGAAAGGTGTCATACTTGCAGAAAAATATGTTGCTGAACAGATCTTTGGAGTTAAAACACTTGCTCGAAGTTGAAAGAACCTGACTGACAGACACAGACCACTGGAGAATGGCCTACCCCATACATATGCAGGAAGTATTTTATGGATTACTTAACCAAGGGTTGACCCCTGGGTTAATTGAAGGTTTGGTGGGTGTTTGGCAATTGTTTGTTTCTCTCTTACCCTCTGGCCTTGCTTTAGCTTTAGGTAGTCCAGCATCATCCATGAGGTCAAGAGCAAATGATACGTTGTGAACCTATTGAAAAAACAATATTGTGTGAAATTACTAACGTTGTCATTCATGGCATGGAAGTGCAAGTATAAGAGATTGTACAGCCATGGTCAAATTGACTGGCTACGGCTATAAAAAACATGTGCATCTTTGGGATGCAGCATACTGGCCACTTCCATAAGCTGTAGCCATGTAAATAAAGCATAACAGACTGGTCTTATCCAAGGAGCGCAAACAGGTCCTAATGGTCGTTTGTCTTGCATGTGCTGTGCTTCTGCATGTTCATACCGGTGTTCAGTGTACACCCGGATATTCCCAACACTTCTCATCTTCCCTGAAGAAGAGACACCATTCTCACATGATTTCTTAACTTGTAGTTTAATGTTGGGAGTTTACAAAAGCATCCCGAGTTCAGACCTTTTCTTCAAAGAGCATTGGCGTGACGTGGTAGTGGTAGAGGGGTACATAGTAACCTTCTAGGAGTCCCATTAACAAGATGAAATACACACCATCATGAAACTGGGAAAAGAACAAGGTAAGAAAATGCTTGTTGATTAAGTGAAATGGCAGGAGCTTGAGATGTGTCTCAAAAACTCAGTCACTTCCATCCCATTTAGTGGTATTCTTTCTGAGAGTACTGAGAGTGAAAAAGTCAGGAATGGTACACATAATATGCTATACATGATGACATACATATGTACATTTTTGGCATTTAACATATATTCCTGTGCTAACGCTGTCATGAACTATAGCAAAGAGGCAAAAAAAGGAATATGAGAATCGCTGAGATTGCTAAATTTTTACCTGATTGTCGAGATCTGTGACTTCCAGGTTGAGCTTGTTAAGGTGTTTGTTAGCAAAACTGATGAGAGACTGGCCATGAAAACAGGAAGGACATTGGTAAGATCTGATGCAGATGTAAACTATTGACGATTTGTGGTCACGTGAAAGGTATTTGTTCTGAGTGAGAAGAAGCTTTGAGAAGCTCCTGCTCATATTCTCATCTTCGCTACAACGAAGAGAGAGACATTTCATGGCGCTGGTGAAAACCTTCCCCAAATAAAACACTTTCAAATCAAAACTGGCCCACCATTTCAAAACCAGCCTTAAGAATTAATTAGCTACTATGTACAAAATGATACCAGAGTGAAATTCCACAAGTTTTGTAGCTGAAATCACCAAAGCTTCCTGTAGACAAAATTTACGAAAAAAGAATATTTGGAAGTGTATGAAAAAAAAAAGCATGGGAGAGGAATTGTCAAAAGTAACTAATTCAGCCCAGTTTTGGAAAGGCGGGTAACATGCGATTACACATCAGAAAAATATTGAATCAAATTTGATTTACAGCATTTCTTCTTACATCCTATTCGTTTTTTACTGTCAAGTTTAATAAACTCATACATACCTTCTTCACAACATTGAGTTTATCCGGTGCATGGTCAAAGAGTGTGTCAAATGCATCCCTCTCTGTGGGGAAATAAACACCAATTAACCATTTAACCTCTGATAAATACTAAATCTCTGTATTTGACATTACAATTGAGTGTCTGTGCCTCAAACTTCTCACACTGATAATGACCCCTTTTCTTGTTGCTTACTAGAGATGTACCTTTCTGAAAGTCTCATGCAAAGTGGCTTTGTTCATGCAACAGAAATGAAAATTAAACTTAGTTTGCAGAATGCTACAACACGCGAAAAATACTCACCAAATCTCCCTCCGATTGCCCTGTAATTTGGAAGAGACAACAGAGAGTACTTTATTCATTACAGAATTGACACATTAAGGTAGGTCACACCACACATCTACTAAGATACAGTCAATATTATTCTCTCCAAACAGGGGGACGGCAGGGGACAGGCAGATAAAATTTTCAGTTTAGCTACCTAACAATGATGCGATTGCAAACCACTCTGTTTTTGAGAAAGAAACTCTCCAGGCCTGTAAAACATACTGAGCTTATCTAACTTAGGCAACATAACCAGGTCGCTCACAATCATTCCCAATACACAATTTGCTTTGAGCTGTCTTTAAAGACTTACTCATTTGTTGTAGTGATTTCTTCCGTGACTCTGTTGGTGACCAGCAGATTGTCTTTTTTCTGTTTGTGAAATCAGAGGTGTGAAAATTAAAATGAACTGTATGAAAAATCAGATTATCACAGTTCAATGAAGATGGCAAAAGTCCCACAAAAAGATTGATTGATCTCTGTCTTTGCTTGTACCTTTAACTTTACATGTCACAGTACGTGGATGTTTTGAGGTGTGGTAGCTTTAACACTAAAGCTCTGGCCTCAAATGATAGCACCATTTTCCTCATGAATAGGAATAATTATGGAAACTGAACTGACTGAAAATACAAGGCATATTAAACACAAAGGTAACTTTCAGAGAACTTCGATCCCAGTATCTATATTGTCTTAAATAATATCACCATTTCACTCATGCATGTGACAGTGAAAGTCTATCAAACAGAATTGTACATTTCAGAGCATTTTAAACACTGTGATTACATTATCACTTTAAAGGCACAACGTATCTTTCCTCTTTCTTGAAGCCACATCAGATGAATCTTTACCTCTTAAACCTGCATACCTGAACCACGACGACTTTTGCTGACACATACTCCGGAATTCTGATCGGCGCCTTGAAATGAAACGCGAGCGCCACCAAGAGGTGGAGGATTGCTATAAGATTCTTGGAGTGGATACCTGCAGAACAAATTGGAAATGGCTCATATTAATGGATGTGCCACCGAAGGAAGTCCTGTCACAAGGCCCAAACAAGTCCACTCGTGAGTCCTACTGCAACACTAGCTGTAAGTACCGGTACATGTACATAGGATGACAAAGGAAAATTTTGTCACAGTTCACTTTGAAAAGCTTGTATTGTGGCTTAAGCCCGGATGATTTGTGATGGACTTGCAAGAACCTGTGACAGACTTGACCATCACATCTCTGCTGAAACAGTCACTGTAGGTAAACCACAGGAGAGTTTCCCAAATCACTACTTTGTCACCATCTTTGTCTTGAGGCTTCAAGTTTTATTCATTTGATCCTCAAGGTCAAGACCTTCAAGCTTAATGCAGCTACATTTTCTGTTTACAAAATCATCATGACTTTACTGTAAAAAAAAAAATTGAGTTCTTAATGCAACAACAGTGCGACATCCGAGTGAAAACAACTATGAATGAAACTTTAAGATTAAATATTTACTCTGTGATTTTGCAAAAGTTGTACACATTTCAACTGAAGCAAGATTCAATGATGTCAAATTCTTTTCATTTTCACATTTGCCTAAAGTACAAACCGCCTTTAAAAAAAAAAAAAAATCTGAAACCAAATATTGAGCTTGGTGATAACGGTGCAGACCAGATTTGAAAAAAGGGACCCCCTGCATCCACAAAGAGAGTGATGAGAAGTAGGCCGGCTTACTGTCCACACTCCACTTCTGTTGGTTCCATCGGGGAAGACTCATGAGCTTGTTGACCGTGTCCAGCACCACCTGCAGCTTCTGCTTCTGGAAGACTTCCGACTGCATCACCTCCCGAACCTCCAGCTTGATCCCTGCAAGTTTCTCTGTTAAAATGAAAATAAAAAAAAAAAAAAAAAAAAAAAAAAAAAGCAGACACAGTGAATGAAAGGTGCCTTTAGATTCCTGGGTGCTTCGTGTCCAGTGCCATCAAATCTGGTACTAACAGTTGTGCACACTTGGTATGAGGAGACGTCCTTACGGCGATTATATCACACTGATGAACAAAGTCTTACCCTTGAAGCACAGGAGCACTTGGCAAATCGCAACAATCTTCTGGCCAAAGAGGTACATGTACTTAAAGAGCGTGAACCATCTGCATACGAGCATGCTGTCACCACAGTTGCAGCATTCAACGATACAGTGCACGGTTAAGAGGTGAGCATGGTGAAGCCAATTTTGCAAAACATTATGGGAAAAATGGTCAACATCCACGCACTTGGCCATATCCCTCCACAGCGAAGGCTTGGCAGTTTCTGCTTTTGTTTGGACGTTTCCGATTTCAGTTGGAATTTGTGTGCAAAAACAATGAGGAAGGAATTTGCGAAGGTCAAAGTGCATGTACTGCCACCTGGACTATCAAGATAACATGAAGCAGCAGGATAATTATAGACAAGATGTTGACAATGAAACTGAGAAGAGCCCAACTGCAGGAAAACACTTGGTGGTAAATAGTAAAGTGGATCACTTCTTAACCTCGGATGCTGTCAGGGGTAAATATACCTGTAAGAAACAGGCCCTGGTGTAAGACAAAGGCAACTTGCAGGTTGCTCGTTTTACCAGTACTTGTCAATAAAATTTGCCGTTTACCTAAGAGGTTCCCCAGAATCTGTCCATCGTAGAGATCCTCCTCAAGATCTCGCACAATGACTCTTTGTTCTTTCATCTCCTCATTGATCCAATCCATCAGCACCTGATCAACAGTCAATGTACAAATCAGTGCGGTGAGTTGCAAGCTGTGCACAACATTCACGGTTACATTTCATCGGGCAAATGTCACCCTCCCGCTTCATGTGCATCTCTGAGGCAAAGAGGGAAGTCACAGCATTTCTAAAGTGTCGGGCATTATCTGCAGTACAGCATTTCTATACCATCTGACCTCAAGCTCATTATCATCAAAGGACACACTGTGGGCGATTGTTTTTTATACTCTTGATGATGTATCGCCAAAGGTGAAACTGAGAGAACCACATGCCCTTTGTGTGTGAAAGAAAACCACAAATGTCAATAAAGCAGTGCTGATTTGGAATACATTCATGTATGTGTATGCAATGGTTGGTTGCATCCCAACGTAATTGCATAGCAGTGTACATGTACATACACAAACATACCAACTGCCGTCAACTTACAATGTAGAAATATATGGGGATCTAAACTTTGCCATTTGCCACACACTTCAAATTGAGCCTTCTCATCTCACCTGTATAAGCTCCTTGAGTTTGGGGTCCTCTCTGGAGTCTGGCTCAATCATCGACCTCTCCTCTCCATTCTCTATAGGATAATAATAATCAAATTAATAAATACATGTATGCAGGCTGAATTTCATCCATTTCCCGACTACTGCCAGGCCTCAGGAAGGAAAGTCTAGTGTCAATTTCAAACATGGGAATAAGCAGCAAAATCGACTGGCTGACAAAGATAACTTGACACCGAATTAGCTCAGGGCTGATCCCCTGCAGACGCAAGGTGTAGATACTAGTATGTATACATTACATTTCGAATGGTAACCTGTTTTCTCCTCAGTGGAACTTTCTGCTGTGCTTTTCTGTGAATACAGGCATGGCTCCAACGAAACAGGAAGGTTCATACATGTACATGTACAGTACAAATTTATTGTTGGTGGTAATGATCCCCAGCAACGTACAATGTTACGATCCTGTTTCAGAAGGACTGGTGTACAATGTTTCAGAACTACATGTACATGTACATGTCCATATATGTACAAAGAAAACGGTGTTCACAAAATTTACAGTTGTTTCACAATTGGCCTCAGAATAAAGTTGTATACATTTCCCATGCCTTTTTATACATGTACTCCCTGGTGAAACTGGGATCCATCCTGATTGACATATGGTTCAGGTTTCTCATTCCTACATGTACATCAAGATTCTTTAGGTTTTTCTAAGATATTTATCTGAAGGTTTCCTTGCTGTCTCTCAGGCTGCCTTTTATCTGTCTTCTCTCCTAATGTTTCCTTCAGTATCAGTACTTTGAGGAATTCATTCTTTGGCACATATTGTAAATTTGGTGGGAACCAGCTAAAAACAATCATTTGTGCCACACCAAAAACTGGCCCTTGTTTCTGCTCACCAGCATTCGTGCTGAGACAGGTTGCATCTTTAAGTGGTTGTACCTGTAGGTATGTATACATGTACCTGTAAGTCATGAATACCAGTAGGTCCAATGAGTAAGCCAAGGCTCACTCTTGCAGGATCAATAGAAACTGCATGACACATGTGTTCCCTCTATGTACATGTACCAGTAAATATGTATGGTACATGTACATGAGTGTATGTAATTATGACCATTTAATTTAAAGGGGCTACCGTACAGTATCTCACAGAAAATTTTTTTGTGATTGAGTTTTTCCTTAAACGTGGCTTGTCTGTGTATTATTCAAAGTGGATTAAAATTAGGCTAGATCTAAAAGTACTGTACATGAACTGGCTACGTCTGGGAATAACACATGCTCAGATTAAGTGCCACTGGCTAGCGGCTGCAAATACTTCCCATAAAGGCATATGTTACTGCGGAGCCGTGGCTACGACTTTAAGTGTACATGTACACCAAAACTCTGATCCTTAGACTACAAGTGAAGGTTGACAATCATTGCGCATGTACATGTATGTGCGATCTTTCAGTTGACAAGATCCTGCCCCAGAAAAGCTTTAGGAAAAAAAAGGAAAGGAAAACATTAGGACAAGTGGTTCTCTTCTTGAATGCACTTGGGACTTTGCCAGTTTCGAAACGGTGATCCCAGCTTAAGAGTGCTCCCTTTTGCCCTGCCAACCCCGTGATCATCATCGTGGCAGACAGCCATGAGCCACTTCATAACAAGGAGGGCCTTCTGGTCAAACAATCCTTGCTATCAAATCAAACCCGTCCTCATTACTGTCAATCCCATAATCCCCTTGGCTGACTGCAGTCTCTCAACACCGTGCCACTAAGCCCAAATGCTACACATACAATGTACATTCGGCTACAAGTTGATACTCGATACAGTCGTATGCTGTACTTTACATGTAGATCCAAACTGCTTGATACCAGTACATCAAGAATGGCAAAATATTTCTCTGAACATGATCTCTTTGAGAATAAATATGACAATGTATATTCAGTTCTGGTGGAAACGGCTTAAAATTCTTCCTGATCAAGCTGCACTTGTACCACGTCTATAATCATAGATCCTAATACTACATGCTGATATGGCAAGACTACACCCACGCGTGTTGTTAATACTGATACTGTTAATGCTGTCACTGCGATTTGAAGCTTCAACTCTGCTACGTAAATTTTGAGCGTGCTCCAAATTTTGGCCCGACTTTCCTGTCCATGAAGACCCTACCACATAGCTCTCAGCTCCTACTGAGTTATTGGTACGATGTGCAACATCTCATCACGATTGGCCACACTCTCGTGAATGTATGAGGATGTACGTGTAGTAAGATCGTGTTTGAGTGTGATGGGGGTTTTAGATACAAATGTACAGACATGTACACAGTCAAACCTCAATAAGACGAGCACTGTTAATACAAGGTTCCTGTCATAACAGGAAAAGTTCAGGTCCCAAGTCTTTGTTTTTCCTTGTTTTCCACTCCTGATAATACAAGGTTCCTGTTATAACAAGGTCATTTGAAAAGTCCCAAGGACCTCTTATTAACAAGGTTCACAGTACCTGAACACACACTTAATAGACATGCAACTAGACTTTGAAGTCCACGGCACTGGGAATACATGTACTGTACTTGTGCAATGCTTGTACATGTAGGCTATGTACATGTACATGCTCTAGTATTTTTGTACGTACACTGAATGACTTTTAGCAATTTCATCTTTAAGGAGGCAACCATGGGGAGGAAAATACACAGGGCCCATCAAAGGAAAGGCAACAAACGTGATAAAGAAGAATTTGAAACTAGAAAACTGATCTTACCGAGGATGAAGTTGTCTGGGGTCAGCTCCACAGGGCTGGCTGGTGCCTCCAGGGCATTCCTGCCATCGCTGTTCAGGTCATTCACTGTGAATGAACAAACAACGCAGGACTTAAGATCAGACAATTTACAAACGGAGCTCAGTCACGCAACACGCAGCCACACTCTTCAGGAAATTACACACAGCATTTACAACTCCTATTTCTGCACTTCAAACCGTGATTCCTGGGCAGTGTGCCAGAATTCTTCCCAAAAAATCTGCAATGTCTAGAAAAAACCGCATTGGTGTACAGTTTACACTACAGACAAAAATCAAGTGTATACATGTACCCGTACATCATGTTCAGAATACATGTATAATATCAAGCCAAGTGTAAAACACCAGTAACTGGGCTTGGCTGTCCTAAATCCACCAAAGTAACTGCCAAAACAAGGGCTTGATTTTGACAGATTTTGACGGATTTTGTACAATCTGAACACATGACAGAAATCTCCAAACCCCAATAATGCGACAACCACATTACATGTACATATACATATACATGTAGGTGCTTACTGGTTCATGAGGCACAACTGCGATATGTGCAAACTCTGCTACATGTACATGCCAGTTTTACAAAAACAATGGGTGTGCTTTGGTGTTTGTTGTAACATTATTATCTGTAGCGGGAAGTGGGAAGGAAGGAAATGAAACTAGGACATGTGGTAGAGTGAAAGTAATACCGCACACTTGGAGCTCTGAGCACTTCTTGAGTATACAGTGAACAGGTGAAGGGCCAAAGCGCAGTGGCCGACAGGAAAAAGAGGTCTATCTTTACCGTATGGGTGTATACTTTCAGCGCTCAAAACTTTGGTAATAAATAAACAGCGACTACAGCACATGTATCAAACGCTGTATGAGCTGATATTGTGAGTGACTTAGTGACAGACTGTGTGGCGACCTGGGTACGTACAATACTGAAGTATAAGTGTAAGTTTTCTTTGTTGACACTTCCACCTACTGGGTTACATGTACATGTACATGTACATGTCCTAGTACATGTATGTTTATGCATGGCTGCAATGTACTGTACATGTACCATACCACTACATGTAGCGGAATATGCCCAGTGGATAAACTGGTCATTTTCATGCTGAAGTACCGGTACCCTACATGTACATGTGCAACTATAAAACTTTTTTCAATCAATGAAAGAAATGCACATGTGTACACGCAAGCATTTCCAGGACAGTTACATGTACATGTACATGTATGTTTATAATGCTTGTTCACACGATCCCTGATTCCTATAAATGTAACCTCAACCCACACTCTAACCTCACTGATAACTGTCACTTTGGGGTGGGGCAAATTGTGAGATGGCACATAGCAGACTAACAGTACCATTGGAAGAACGTTGCCATACAGGTCAGGGACTATGCGGACTACATGTCTAAATCATGTGTCATGTGAATTCACAGTATGCAATGTAATTTCAACCAGATGAAATTTATAGCATCAATCAGTGACACTACGGCTGGTATGTGTGTGTGTACATGTAATTGTACTGGTAAATTGCCAATTTAAACATTTGTATGGCGGCCAGCAAAGAGTAATATTTGGAATCCCTAAGACACTTTTGGCCCAAACCAAATCTAAAATCCCCCAAATTGTGAAAAAAACTATGGCACACTCTTGTCTCAAACTTTTACATGTCCACGCACAGCAAATGTACACATGTTTGTCCTGTACATGTACATGTACATGGTGAAGCTCAGCTTCTGCATCTGAAATCCGTTGTGTGGCCCGTTCTATAAAATGAGTCATGAGAACATTTGTTTTCAAAAATTTGCTTCAGTTTGCATCAGAAAAAGCAAGCAAGCTCTTTGTCTTTGTTCACTTTGTTTGGTATCCTGATGACAACAGATAGTGTTGCAGTTGAAAATGTTGAGGATTCCTACTGATTGCCCATAGTGTAAGACTCTTTAAAAGGCCTGTAACTCAAAATAAGCTCTGGCAACTTGTGAGTTATTTTTGCAGGACAGGTCATACAGGAATGTTTACATCTGATGTACATGTACCTTCCAAATCCTCCAAAACCTCATGATAGATTTTGAAGGCTCCAGGCTGATTAGGGTTTACAAATTTGTAAACTCCACTGGCATCCTTGTTCAAAAGCTTTTATATGAATCATCCTAAATCTCAACACTGCAGAGTAAAGCAATGTCATTGGCACATTTTAAGTTGTACATGTATGACAACACTACCGTATGTTTGCATGTAAGACGGATTGGACACACCAGTGTTGTACCATAGAGCTACAAACCCTATGGTTGTACCCACTTGGGGTGTTTCATGTGTTGGTTGGCAAAGTGGTTCTTTCTTCCCCTTCCACCTGTACGGTCCAGGTTTGATTCTTGGCTTGGTCCGCAGGTGGATTGGGTTTGCAGTCCCTATTATGTGATTCTGTGGGTTTGACCCAGAATATTCCTCTGGGGTTTCCTCTCACCTCTAAAACTGTGACTGCTTCTGATTGTCTGCTCTCTACAGGTTTCTTCAGGCTCATGAGCTACATGTACATGTATGGTGCCTACGTCACTCAGTTTAGGAATCCTTGGTGTCATTTCAAGAAATTAAACAATGATAATTAAAATCAGGATGAAAGTCACTGCAAAACCTCTGTGTAATGTAAATTTCACTGGATTCAGGAAATCATGTTTTCAGTTGCACTGCAAATAGAAACCTGAAACTTCATGTTATGATTTCTCACATCGTGTACATGTAGGATGTGTTTGCATGTGTTAACTTTCAATGCTGTCATTACATGTACATGTACAAGAACTCTAGGAAAATTCTTGCAACATGTTGCCAGAATGGTCAACGTCTGAATTTGACATGGGCTGTTCAGAGTTAACACAAAATAGCAGTCCACAGTTTTTAAGTTCTTGTTGTCCAACAGCTTCAAGTCTCTGTTGATTAAAGATCACTCTGTAAGCCAAGTAATAACAAATTTCCATGGAAACAACTTTTGAAATCCTGCAGTCTTGATCAGGTGATATGCAAGAGCCTACTTTCCATCTCAAAGCAAAGTATTGGCTCGTCTAATCACGGCTGGTGCTGCTGTTCATGTGCCAAGGAGTACGCGTATACTCGTATTAAACACAAATAACATGCTTGAATGCAGAAGCCTTAAAACGCAACCTGCCTTTCAAGTTTAGTCGACAGGACACCTAATAATGTACCCTTACATATCAATCACTTGCAAGTCAAGGTGTGCCTTTTGTGACTGTTGCAACTACATGTACATACATGTACATGTATAGCTTGCCCTTCTTTTTGCAGGCCCAGTCATGTGAAAGGTTCCCATGCCAAGGCATGATTGTTTGTGCAAACAATTTTTCTTTCTTGACGATTCCAAGAAAATTCTGACAATAAAAGTCTGTGACTTTGTGGAAGTTGTAACAAATAAAATCTAGAGGACTATTCAGACTGGTTTCAAAAACAAAATTCGTTTCCATAACATTCCATACATGTACTGGTATGATGTGTGTACGGTACACATGTTCCAGAACATGTTTGTCCCACAGAGAAAATTTTAAAAACAAAACTGATAAGAACATAAGGACAGTGGGATGCAGGGCTTATCTTAATTTCACACATTTCCATGGCAAAAACTCCCTGGTGTCCAAGGAAAACCCAGGGAGGCGGTACATGTACGTTACATACCGGTACATGTACAATGTATGTATACATTAGTTACATGTACCGGTACATATGAGCTGCAATGCGCCAGCTAGCCCATTAGTCAGACCCTGGCAGCCACTGGTAGTGCAAAACAAGCCAAATATTGTAGGAATTTGTGAGTCAATGTGATAGCCAGATGCCTGCATGCACAGTTACACATGTGGGCCTGATGAGCTGCTCTTACTGTACATTGTGGTCACATCCACATGATTGCACATCATCCAGGAACTGTAATTTATGCACTGTTGGCCTGCGTGCCAGGAAAGATTTACAGGGGGTGAAAGAGAATCAATACTGCTAACCCTGAGACTATCCATTTAGGTAAATTTTTCAAAAGTGAAGTATTTCCAATTATAAATGAAGGGCTATGTGTACATTCATGTACATGTACATGTACGCATCCCTGTACTTGTGTGTTGTAAAATGTTCAATATCAGTTAAGAAGTCTGGGTTTTAAATCTAATGAGATTTTAAAAACTACCCCGGAAAAAAACAAACAGAAAAAAGAGCGCAAAATCAAGTAACAGACAACATGACTTTAATTAATTAAGCCTACATGTACATGTATGTACCTGCATCAATTCGTCAGGTGCACTCAAAGTGACATATTGCGGATAGTTGCCACACCACAAACTGACGTATTGTGTGCACAAAGTCTATGGACAGTAGTCACAGTACGTCACATGGTGGTGCACCAAAACTATCCTACACGTCACTTTGTGGTGAAACCGAAGAATTATTAACAAACTGTTTAAACATTTTGAATGCTGAATCCTATCAGTCCACAGTCCTTGAACTATTGTTGGATTGAGGACTGTTATGGTTAAATATGTAGTGTACACCCAGAATGTACATTACATGTACAGTATGTACCATTACGCAATGTTCTGCCGGTATGTCAAACAGTTCAGGAAGGTTTCCTGTACATACATGTACATGTACAGTATGTATAAATGCCCCCCCCTCCAATTTGGGTCAAAATTTGGTTTCAAAACTTCATTCAACAGCGTGACCAAATGAACGTGGAATCCCCAAAGATACAACTATATGCAGAAAATTATGAAGTGAATTCACGCGAAGACACATTTTGCTCTCAGCTATGCACATGTAGGCATGCCAAACACTGAAACATGTACCAGCGTAAACATGTACATGTACATGTATGTTGTTTTGGGGCAGGAGTTGACCCAACTCCACTTTCCAGGTCATGGTACTGGTCCATGTGCAAGGTATGTACATGTATGTACGGTACACCTCAGTTCTAATGAACTGGTGAAGCACCTGACCCCTGACATTTGATTGCACTGTATACACAGTGACACAGATTTGATTTGAAAGTTGACCACACGTGCAAGTTTGCATTATTTTTCACAGTAGGCCCTACACCTTCCATTGGGACAGGATACTGTTGCAAAAGTGGCACTGTAATTTGCACTGGAGTGACACAACCTATGTACATGTACCGTTCTTATGGTAATCTTCCAGTGTTAGAGGTCACAAAAAGTACTTTTTTTGATGGCACAATGCCTACTGATTATGCTGATGCTCTGATGCTGAGCACATTAATTAGTTCATGAATTAATGATGTAAGGACTAATTGGCACTTCCATTGTAATGATGTGTAAACTACTCGTAGTAATGAGTGTTGCCCTTTAAAATACAGGTAGGTCTACTGCTTGGTCCTGAAACCCAAGCCAAATTGACTCTGCAGGTTTCTGGTTCTAGTTTCAGTCCATGTGCAGTTATTAGTTTCAGTCACTGGGGATGTTCCATGACCTCATATTAAAGGGACTCTTCCCCTTTCCTGTCAATCTATCACGGGGTTTCGGAGGAAAATGTGCCGCAGGAGAAAATGGATGTGTAACCTGCAGCCAAATGAGGGTGCATAAACGTGGCACTGGGGCTTCACAGAATGAACACTGTCAACCAACTTTGAAAAGAAATGTTTGATTTTCAGTTCTTGTGCACATGCAATTTAAGGAAAACTGTAGAATGCCATATCGAAAATTTAATACACTACACAGATTCATTCAGATTAATTTCAGCAAATTGTACACTGTACATCATCTTGCAATTAAGTATTGGGCCCTTGATATGTGCACATTATACTCATACATGATACATAAAAACATGCACATGTACATGTACATGTACTCTGGGTAATTTCAAACTCAACTGTCAGGGGCATCATAATCAAATAACATATGAACAACTCTGGAGTTTATTTTATATGCATTGTTTATGTACATGCTACATGTACATGTATATTTTGGATGAGAAACCCATGACTCTTACAGGCACTAACAGGAGTGTACATGTACATCAGTACTGCAGGAACCAGTTTTTGAATCCTCCACAAAAAAGCCTTTTGCGAGTTAACTTTGACCCAAATCTGGTACACTGAGTTCTTTAAATTCATGTGAACATAACAACTTGACTTCTCCTTACTAAAACCACTGTTGCTTTACCTCATGATTTGGGGCAAGCTTTTGCTTAAGAAGGGCACAAAGGAACCAGTCCGTTCCAGAGATGATGGTCGCCCGTCGCTATTACTGGAAGCTGAAACTTTGGGTGTTACTTTAATAGACTACTCTTCTTTATCCTACAACTTGTATGGGCGGCCAATGTTTGCTGAAATATCACCTTTTAGTTGGTTTTCGATTTTCCTTAAATTAATTCAAACTGGACATTTGTCCCATTATCTTAAATAGGGTTGTACATGTACTTTCATTTAGTACATATACTAATTTAGTGGTACAATGTTATAACTTTCTGGTGTTGTGATACATGTAGCTTGTAAACCTTACAACCATGTAAACAAGCAAAGACTGCCTGTCCAATTTTTTTGCCTGTCCTCAGGACAGGTGGCTAGATGACACACAGAACTTTGTGGTGCCAGAGAGTACATGTATGTACATGTACCACTAGTAATGACACAGGCAAGAGCAGTGGCGAATGATGAATTCAGCAAAGTCGGCTGTCGAAAAAAAGAAAAAAAATGAAATAAGCACAACCAAAGGCAAAAAAACACATCACATACATACATGTACCAGTACTAGTAGCAGCAACAACAGTCAGGTGTGTGGTTCCGTATGTCCTAGACCGTAGCCTATGGCATACTTTCTTCTGGTGTATTGTTTTCTGTAAATAGATGTAGGCCTAGTTTGTATAATTGGGGGAGGAGGGTGAAGTGACTGTATGGTCAATCCCTCATCTGAAAATCTGGAAACTTGTCAATGTTGGTGAAAATTGAAAGTGATGGTGGTCAGACATGCATATACAGGAAGTGTTTTCATCACAGTCTCACATGGATACCTGTGTCGGTGGCAAGAATGATCTTGTGTTAATTTATAAACTTTCCAACCATGCTTAATTTAACTCTAGTTAGTCTGTTGGGTCCAGGCCCAAGTTAGAAATACAGCTAGGCAATTTTTTATCTGAAATTAGGCCTAGAAACTGTCAGACTGTAGTGTAGGCATAACCACTGCAGTGGTGGTTAGGCCTACAGTGTTTTGACGTGAGCTGGCATACGTTTTTTGTCAGACATTTAAGATCACTGTTCTATTCACTTTCTATCATTATTTTGAACAAATTAGTAAAGATTTTATTGTCACTTAATATACTGCTATGCCTCCTGATTAACTGTACTTCCACTGGACCGCATCACGCCCACATTTACACACCAAGGACCATAGTGCACAAATGGAATGTCCGGAATGCCAAATAAGGAGAGCTACACCGCAATGAATGACTTTTGAAACCAGTTTTAAAACCAGTATTTCACAGCACATGAAGCCCAATTGTTTCACTTCTCTGACACGTACCTTCTTTGAGGTCCTTAATCTTTTTCCTCCTGCCAAGTGTTGTGACTTTTTCGAGGAAAGACTCTTCTTTTTTCTCCTTCTTCAAAGTCGAAGTTTTGGTCGGAGACGACGCCATCTTCCAAATTTTGACAGTGAGTAAGATTTTTGCCGCCCTCTCGTGAAATAGTTTGGAGTTTTGTGAGGCCAACGTACACACGTCGACATGGGCACTATCCATATAGTTAGATCATCATAGAACCAGGTCTATAGTTAGATCTAACTCTATGACACAATCACATATAGTGCCCAATAATAATGTAATATACATGCAGTATGAATTATAAAGCCATTTGACCGCGTAATAGCCACAGAAATAAAACTATGACCGACACAATAGTGCTAAAACATCATCTACTCCGGTCGAGCATTTCTACTAGAAAACATTTCCTCTGGAAAACATAGCTAGACAAATGGCAGACTATTTTGACCTTTGGACTGATGCCAACTACACGTTCTTTTATCAGAAAAAGCAGGAAGTAATTGTCTCGTTTTTTGCGATCCCATCCCGATTGTGCTATAAACTGCGCTCACCTCCCACCAGCCTACTCACGGTACCAACAAAAGAAGTTTGGTTGAACACCAGCAAAACAGGTATTTTAACAAATCATGTTTTGTACAATTTTGTGCTCGTATTAAATGTTTTAATGTGAGACACTTGTTTTGTACGTAAACTAGGCCTATTCGGCCTGTCGGAAGGGACATGCGTATGCATGGTTAATACAAGCCCTACACGAATGTACACAAATGTACATGTAAATCGGACATGTGCTGCATTGTAGACTTTGCCTTGCACATGAAATGAAGGCCTACCTCCTACCACAGTCATGACAGTACCAGCAATTGGTTGTCTCTTCATTCCCAGTTGTCACTGGTTGTTACGCTCCAACTAACTATACTGTAGATGATGTATAGCATCTGTCCCTGTTGTAATATGGGTCGAGACGGTCCCAGCTACCATGACTACACATAATACAGTATTGCCCCCAGACCTCTGGCTTTTCTGCGATACGTCGTCTGCCATTGTCTGCCCCGACGAATCCCATAGTTCTGTAGTTACCCAACTATCACTATAGTGCTGCAGTTAGGCTGGCCCTGCCAACAATTGCTGTATTTGACAAATTTTCATCTAAAATTTCCCAACCTTTTAAAGTTAATGCAGCTCACACGTGATGGAATTTATCCAACATATGCCAACCTGGCATGTCATCCATCCACAAATAAAAACAAACATTAATTTCTGCGAGCATGAGCTGCCAATATACACAAAATAACATTGCCACATTCTGTGGCACACACTCGTTCTTTCTTTTTGTAGTGTAGTTGGGCCCCTTCCTTCCCCCTTCTGCCACAAGTGATATCTATTGTTAGTCTTCATGGTTTAATTTTAAGAAGTTACATTTTTGCATTACTAGCCAGGCCTCATATATCAATAACCGTCACTACTGTGTCCCCCCGTCCCCATGAAGGCAAACTTCTTGAGTGTCTTGGTTTCGAAATGGGCCAGTTCGTTTCCAGAAACAAATACTTATTCTTGAGCCAAAGACGTTTGTGCAAGCAAATGAGGGAAGGAAGTGGTGCCTGTGGTGCTGGTAATAGAATGCGAAGACTTCCGGAACAAAGGAAACAGGGCAAAGCTGAAACAGTAAACAAAATAACACAGCTGAGCTGCGGCAGAATGCACAGCTGTAATAAAAGTTTTGATTTACACAATGAAGTGTATATCTTGCCGGCATCCCGTCACACATAACTTGTTTGTTAAACAGCTGGCACTGAATCAGTAGTACATGTATAATAATTACTCCATGTGAAATATTGTGACTGCAGCTGATTCTCTGCCAATTTTTGATTAAGCAAGTAAATCTGCTGGGTAGTACATGTCCTTTATATCAGTATTCAGTTTTACAACATTGCCAAGCAGAGAAATGTGCTTAGCACAGATGTTTGCTTGTACATGTAGCAAAACAGGTTACCAGCTGCAATGCCACACTGTGTGTCCATTTTTTTTTTAATGATTTCCAGTTGGGTTTTGTAATGACCAGCATTTCTTGCTTTTAAGGAATTGGCTAGAAATCTTTGACATTTTGAAGAGACTTTATTTTCTACAGGCCTTACACATAAATGTACACTGTATCACATCCATGCACATGTAACATGTTCGTTTAAATAGAAACTGACTGATTTCCATGTTGCAGATACAGGCATGCAACTTTGACAAAACAAAAAACGAGGAAACTCTAATATTTCCAACATTTTGTACAGTGTTTTTCAATTCCTAATGGGACCAGTGGTAAGTGAAAAATGAGGAAATCAGCTGATCCAAGGGAAAGTTGCATGCCTGCAGATATTGAGAGGTTTTTGCATGGATGTGCAAACAGAATGACTCACTAGTACATTTTCTCTTGAAAATTTGGTAGATCAACCATGTGGCGTGCTCAAGTTGGGGCAAAGGTCGAAGTTCAAGCTGACGATGATGACTGGGAAACTGACCCAGATTTTGTGGTAAGAATCAGTGTCACTGTGTCAAACTAACTTGGTCCGAAATTCCTTGGTGTGTTTTCTTGGTGTGTTTGACTTGTGTCTGCTCATCTGTTTTTTTGTCAGTCTCCTTGTGTGCTTGTTGGGTTTACTTAAAAACTACATTTGTTACAAGAAAAGATGTATGCATGTCGTGCACATTTTGAATTCCCAAAAGGGACTGTATGAGATGAAATGTGTTCACACAAAGTGAACTCAGTACATTAGTGAATAGGAAATTTGACATTTTCAGAACAAGTTTGCATTTGTATTCCAAAGAAGTGACTGTCAGTATACTGCTATGCAGACATGGCTGAAATTCTTAAGAGATAGGCCATGTCTGAAATTACTTGGCAGTGGCTTGACATCCCTCGAGACTTTAGGGTGGTAGCTGCAGCCATTTGCCGTAGAGTAGTGTGTAATTTCAAACTACAGCCAAGCAATTTTGACATGGCCTTACATCAGCTGCGCTTATGAATTTTGTCGTTGTTTGGCTCCAAGAACGATGTGAGTGAGAAGGAACAGCGATGGGGCTCCAAGACGGTCGAAGGGTCCGGTCACCAGGGCTCTGTCAGGTAAGAAAATAAAGGCTGTGATTTCAGTGGCATTGATGGAGACGTTGGAGGATCAGGCTTAGGCAAACATCCAAAAAACAGTCTTCTAGAGCGGCTATGGCTGTGTCTGTTGTCAGCATGTGTGCATGTATTTGTAACTGGCAAAGACCTAGATCAAGCCACAGACGCAAGATTTGGAAGTGACCTTGGTACTGTGTTTGTGGCTATTCACTCATGGGAGGGACTTGAGGCAGGGAAAGGAGGGGGCCGTTCTTAAACTCTAGAGGGTGGGAGGGAATACAAAGCCCACATCCTTCAAGGCGATAGGCCACCATTTCAAAATTCTTATCAGGTACATGTAGGTGTCAGACAGAATGGTCCAATACATTTGTTATCGGTTTGCTATCAGGTGAAGTGTTCTCAAGTGGCCAATTCAAACTGATAATTGCCTTTACACTGCTTACTCCCAAGGCTATGTGGTTTCATGGGAGCAACACCCCCTCCATTATTCACTCAACACAAGTCACTGTTATTATTTATTTATTTATCGGTCAGATGGCCCTGTCCTGTAGTCAACTGACAGGAATTTTGAAATGATGCCTAAAGCATGTGGTCGGAGGGGGTCAGCAGAAACCCGTTTCTATTTGGAGGGCTTTCGGGAATAGCATGGTAGAGGCTCAAGGTTGAATCTTGTTTGAAGTGTTGTATCCTGCTTAGATGGGGGAGGGGCTACAAGCAGGGTGGGGAAGGGAGTTAAAGTTCAAATTTTGGTGTTGATCCTTGATTATTCTTGTGGCTGGTGCTGTTGTAGTGTACGATGCACCAATCAACTCACTTCAGGCCAGAGTCTTCTCTGATCAGCTGTTTCTCAGT